TTTGAAATTTTGCGGCTCTGACAGGTTTCTTACTAGGAGAACATGATACTAAAAGAGGTATAACAGAATTTCCCGCCTTTTTGTTTTGTTTATACTTTTCGGATACCTCTTTTGCTATCATGTTCTCCTAATAGAAAACTCAGATTTTCGAGTTCCATTTGAAATTTTGCGGCTCTGACAGGTTTCTTACTAGGAGAATATGATACTAAAAGAGGTATAACAGAATTTCCCGCCTTTTTGTTTTGTTTATACTTTTCGGATACCTCCTTTGCTATTATGTTCTCCTAGTATGAAGTCTCTCCAACCCGCGAAATTTGAAATGAAATGCGAAATTCTGAGTTTAGTATTAGGAGAACATGATATGAAAGGAGGTATCCGAAAAAACGTAAACAAATCAAAAGGCGGAAAATTTCCGGCGGATCTCGATATCTGAGTTTTGTATTAGGAGAATATGATGCTGAAAGAGGTATCCGAAAAATGTACACATTCCAGAGGCGCGAAATTTGAAACAGAACCTGAAAATCCGAGTTTCTTACTAGGAGAACATGATACTAAAGGAGGTATCCGAAAAATGTAAACATTCCAGGGGCGCGAAATTTGAAACGGAACCCGAAAATCCGAGTTTCTTACTAGGAGAATATCATATTCAAAGAGGTATCCGAAAACAATTTCGCGGCGCCAACTTTCAAGCGTATAATTTTTGTTTCCTTAATTTCCCCCATTTTTGAGAGAGTTTAATTTCCTAGCGAGTTAAATTTTGAGCTTTTTTAGTTTTAGCTCGAGGTGTTAGAGCTTTTGAGGCATTTGGGGGGGGGGTCAAACCCCCAGCGAGTTAATTTTGCGCTTTTTTTAGTTTGAGCTCGAGGTTTTAGAGCTTTTGAGCCACTTGTGGGATAGTTTAAGTGTCAAGAGAGCTAATTGTTTTATTATATTTAGTTTGAGCCTCGTTGCAGTAGCTTCACAAGCTTGAGAAGATCGCTGTGCACTCACACTATTTTACTCCAACTAAAAAAGGCCGTAGTTTTGGGTTCTACAGATCTCTAACTCTAACTGTATGGGAGGGAGAAGGACAGTTATAGTTGATATGGTGGTGGCACCTACCGGAGGTGTCGCGATACTATTTGGCTTGTAGTTTGAGCTGTCTCCAACTAGATGATATTACTATCGCTAGACGAGGAAAGACAAGGATAGTGTTACGGGAGGGAGAAGGACAGAGGTAGCTGATATGGTAGCGCCACCTACCGGAGTTGTAGTGATACTATTTGGCTTGTCGTAGTTTGAGCACTGTTGCTCCAGATGGTGCCAACACTGTTTAACTATGAGAGACAAGGAAGACTATATGGAATGGCGAAGGACAGAAGTAGTTGGAAGGGTTCCTCATTATAACATGCAAATATCTTGACAAATGTATGAGAAAGACAGAGATACGTGTTTCACACCGTTACCGTACGTGTTATGGTGGTACTGGTTGCTCTGTCCCTACCTCATATTTTATATAGACTTTTATAACCTACCAAACTTTCCACCGCTAGATGGCGAGTCTCTCGTTTACCTTAATTTTTCTCTGTCCTTGACACTCTCTGTCTCTCCTTGTCTTACTCATTGTAGAAATAGAGAGTAACCAATAGGGACTTTCAGGGCCGCTGTCACGCAGGCGTGAGTTTGCCCCTGGCGAGCTGCAACCGTTTTTACATGCCTGTCAATTTGGTGTACCAAGGGGTAACTCAGGATTATTCTAACAAAATGCTCAACATTCCGTTATAAAGGTTATTTTTATATGAAGGTCAAGCTTGTAATTGTTTATTGATTAATAATACACTGAGTTAAATTGATTTGTTTAATTTTTTATTGTAAAATAACGAATGACATTAAATAATTAATCAACCTAAACTTTCGCACACACAGGTATCTACGTTTAACATCATTCAAAGTTACAAAATACATTCGTTTGAATAAAATTATTAAAACTATCAAATACACTGTTTACTTATCTTCTATCATTCTACGATTTATTTTCTACTAATTTATTAACGACATAGTTCTATCCATTCTAATTTTCGTAGTTCTAATTTCCTACTAAATCATTAATGTGAATGGTAATTCTAGTTTTCTACTAAATTATTAACACTAGGTTTACGGGTATTTATTGTACAGTTTATTCTATTGTTCCTAAGGAAGTTGATATTCGTTCATTTAAATTTTCAAAATTGCAGATGTAGAAATAGACAATCAGGATTCATATTCGTGTAATTGGATCAACGAAAATTGAAACATTTACCGAATAATGTTTATAAAATCCAATCTGCGTCAAATTCACGCGTTCCGTAAACCTAGTGTTAACGACACAGTTCCATCCATTCCATCAAGCACACTTAAAAAGTACATCACAAAGCAAGACGTTAAACAATTCCTATCCTCAAATGTTCCCACTCCCTAAATCCTCAGTTCCACAACCCTCAAAACAACCACCCACCCTCCCCAACCGCATCCTCAGCAGGCCAACTGGTTCGTATTTCGCGCGGTCCACAGTTCCAGCGATCATTCCGTCCACAATGCTTCGCTCGCTGTTAACTAGGCTGCGCTCGCGCTGCAAACCGCTCGCTTCGCTCGCAGCACACTTCTGTGCACCAGTGTACCCGCTGTACGGGTTCGGGTTGCGTTGTTTTCGGCGGTGTTCTGTACCGATGCGAGGTGGTTTCGACCCAATTCCGAGAGCCTGCTGCGAGTTCCCCTGCGCGAGTGAAAAGTGGAAAATAATCTGACCGGGTAGCCGTCGGCTGGCGGAACGAACAGGACTAGCGGATCGACTCGACTGGCAGACACGAGGCGTGTTGGTGCGCGTTCCTCGCGGTGAAACATGGTCTCTTCGTGTCCGATCGTCTTCCATAGCTGCGAGCCTCTGTTCCACGGATATATTTCTTGCCCCGACGAATCCTGAGGATCTACCCGGTGTCTCGAAGTATTCACTCGTGTACGTTCGTACAAGTTTACCCGTGGCTACTCGCCGTGAAAGTGTGCGGTCCGAACGTAACGCTGCTCGAGCGTGCATATGTGTGTACGTAGCCTTCCACTGTCAATAATTTTCAGCATTAGGGGATCCACTCGGTGATCATTGACTCCGGTGCACCGTGTTTGCTGGGCGCACGGTGCAATCGAGTTATCCGAGGCGAACTGGGAATCGGATATCGCGGTGGCTGCTGGGTATCGTTCGTAGTACCTCTCTCGGCGAGATCTTTAATCTCAGTGCCCTATATTTCGCTATTTTCGAGCGTGCTGCAGCTTGAGAGAGAGAGAGAGAGAGAAAGAGAGACACGGCTTTCGGTCAATTGCTGTTTTATAGAAATCGTTGTTTATTCGCTTCGATGAACAGCGGTTTTTTTTAGTTATTTATGTGTGGGGTTCTGTTGGGAGTTTTATTGTTCTTAATCTTTGGCACTACAGGTTGTTTTGTAATCTGTCAGTAACTGTAAATAATTTTTATGGTATCTCTAGTGAAAATGGGAAATGCTATAACGTTTTTTAGATCTTTTATTTTCGTTAGTGCAAAATTTGGATGCGTGGGGAATTTAATAATTTTGGGGTAGTTTCTTTAACCCATAGCACTCCAGATGGTTTTCTAATCTGTCAGGCACTGTAAATAATTTTTATAGTATTCCTAGCGAGAATAAGAAATATAACAATTTTATTTTCCTTAGTGCAAAATTTGGGTGTGTGGGGAATTTAAGAATTTTGGGGTAGTTTCTTTAACCCATAGCACTCCAGATGGTTTTGTAATCTATCAGGCACTGTAAATAATTTTTATAGTATTCCTAGCGAAAATAAGAAGTATAATATTTTTTAGATCTTCTATTTTCCTTAGTGCAAAATTTGGATGTGTGGAAAATTTAATAATTATAGGGTAGTTTCTTTAAGATTCATTAAAATATCTAATATTATTCCGGGTGCAATATTGGAGCCTACAGAGTTCAAAGGGTTAAGATTCATTAAAATATTTAATATTATAACTGCTGCAATATTGGAGCCTACAAAGTTCAAAGGGTTAAGATTCATTAAAATATTTAATATTATAACAGGTGCAATATTGGAGCCTACAGAGTTCAAAGGGTTAATACTAGATTTACGGATGTTTATTGTAAAGCTTATTTTATTGTTACCATAAAAATTGGTGTTCGTCCGTTTAGACGTAGGCAATTAAATATTTAAACATTTATTATTAAGAACTATAATCACGTAATTGAATCAATTAAAATTGACTCAAACGTTTAGCAAATAATGTTTATAAAATTGAATAGTCAAACTGGCTGGTTCCTCAAATCTAGTGTTAAGCTTTGGGAATTAAGGAAGACATTTGTCGACTCACCCTCTGCTTGCACCCCTACCGGTGGAGTCTCTGAAATGGAGCGTTAGTCGTGTAACAATTGATGATCAATGCGAGTGTGAGCGCAAACGATGATTGCTTTGATTTGTTATTAACGGGAATGGTGATAGAATCAGTTTAGGTAGATTATATTTTGCAAATAAATAATAAGTGTTAACATTACTACCGGGTGGATCAAAATCTCCCATTTCTCATTTCTTTTTGTAATTATTAACCAGATAAATATTTTCATAGAAAATCATTAAAGAAATTATTTAGCAATATGCTAATTGAATTAAAAATCAATTGCAACAATAGATGCACTTTTGGAGTTTCCATAGAGAAATTTGAAAAAGTCAGTTCAACTGATTTAATTAGTTTTAGTAGTTACTAATTCAAAATTCACTAATTTAAGTAGTTTTAGTGTTACCAATTGTAGCAATTGTTTTTCCAACTGCGTGCAAGCTGATCATTTCAAATAGTCGATTTAAATGGCGCAGACTGATTTGTAATTGAAATACACAGGAATTGCATAATATGCAGGTGTATGCAGCACTCGCACGCATAGATACGATCACGAACAGTGCACACCCCAGTTGTAATGTTAATTAACCTGTAGCTCTCGCTCAAGTTCAAAAAGTTATTCCAAGGATGCACAAACTGGATTGCAGATTTTATGCAGTTGCAACAAACTCGATGCACTGGAATCGAAGCTTCGATGCAGCAAAGATCTCGTGTTCTCGTGTGTATTATCCAGTTTTGTCGTAGATTTGTTCGCAGACAGATATTTTCCAAATATTATTAATAAATAAACGTTATTTTATTTCTTCCACGGTACGAACTACACGAATATTGAATAGAACAATCAAATCGAATAGTAAATCGGTCGAAACGATCTGTTTGAATGATAAATAAATAAATCGTCATTTCAAGGAATCATTCGTTATGCCATTTGAACCTGTTAACACTGTAATTCATTGAAAAATTCCCACGCGAAGTGTATCGCTGAAATCCAAACGAAAATAACGAATATCTCAACGAGAAACTGGATCAAAACGGGGAAACGATTAATTCGACGAGGCAATTGATAGAATTCAATTTAATCGTTCAATAATTGATTGACTTCAACGATCGACACTAGGATATGTAGTAGCATTAATTTAAACAATCAATACTGGCAATACTCTGGTTTTGGAGTACAATTTTCACGATTTCTACGGACGAACAGTTTTTTAGCAGCGATAGAATGAAGCGTAGGATAAATGTCTATAAATCTAGCGTCAATAATAAATTCAGAAACATAGGCAAAGCTCTTTAAAAATGATACTAAAAGATAGAAGGGAAAAATCGTTCACCCTGATTGTTTATTAAAAACAATGCACCCAATCCTTAGAACAAACTATAGACTAAACACCCGAAAAATCTAGCGTGAATCAATAATAAATTCAGAAACATAGGTAAAACTCTTTAAAAAAGGCACTAAAAGATAAAAGGGAAAAATCGTTCACCCTGATTATTTATTAAAAACGATGAATTCGATCCTTAGAATAAAATATAGGCTAAACATTCGTAAATCTAGCGTGAATCAATAATAAATTCAGAAACATAGGCAAAGCTCTTTAAAAAAGGCACTAAAAGATAAAAGGGAAAAATCGTTCACTCTGATCGTTCGTTAAAAACGAGGAATCCGATCCTTAATAAAATATACAATAAACTAACCAACAAAATTGTATCCACTGAATTGATTTACAATTTAGTTCGCGCATCGCCAATTCAATTTCTGCAACGACCTCTCACAGAAACGTCTGTCACCATTTTACTAATTGCAAAACGAAGAAACCAGGAGTGGGCCATTTCGACGCGTCCGGTAGTTCGAATGGTAAAATCGGTCGGAACGGAGGACAAAGTTTCGAAGGGAACGGTTTTCACGGCGCCGGAGACCGGCCGCTGCCGGCCGAATGGCTCGGCCGAACGCTTACAGACGTAGAAAGACACCAGCGTGAGAAGTACCGTTTGTCAAAACGGTCGCGAGCGAGCGCGACGATAATTTGCAACGTAAACGTCCGGCGTACAGTTAGAGTTTCAGGTCAGTCGCGAGGTTTTTCGTCGGCGACGCACGGAACGCCGAATTGCTCCGCGCCGAGGACCATCGACGTCGGCCATTGTGTCGGCACGCGGAAAACGAGAGCGCGAACGCGTTTCTCGCTGGCACGCAAACTTAACGCTAGAACTTAACTGGTTGTTGACGCTCGCCACACGACGGGGGAGTTATCGAACCGGGAATTCGAGAAATCATTTCGCGTGTAGTTAGAGTCGAGCCTGTTGCTTTTATTTATAATGGAACGATCATTTAGTTCTTATTTAATCCTTTGATTTTAATGTTTTCTAATGAGATAAAGATATTTTGTGATACTGAGTCGAAGAAATCACGTATATTGGAGAACAATGCTGTTTTATTTCAGTATTTCTCAAGTTGATGCATTATAAGGGGTGTAATATTAATAAGATTCTCTAGAGTATACGAAAGCTTTTGTAGATTCTGCTAAATCACACATCGAATGTCTAAATAATGTAGAATAAGGAAATTAGGTGCTGGTTTCTTACTGTTTGAGTGGTTGAATCATTTGTTTGCTACTTAATGTTACAAACGTGAGTGTTAGATCTCGGCAAAGTGTCGACATTTGTCCGCAAAGGGTTAAATATCAAACATTACAGTTTTATTTATGAAATCAAGTGCAAATGCAAATCACCTCTCGAGTGCAAAGGGTTAACAATAAATTTACGGACGTTTATTCTACACTTTATTCTATTGTTGGAAAACTACGCGATCGTCTATATAAATTGAGAAAATTGTGGCTTCAAAACTAGAGCATTGCAATGCGTATTCGCGTAATTGCACGATCAAAATCGACTCAAACTATTACTAAATAATGTTTAAAAAGTTCAGTATCCGTCAAATTGACGGGTTCCGTTAATCTAGTGTTAAGTAGGGGAATCGGTACAATTGAGTTGCTCGGAAATCAATGTGAATAATACGTTAAGTGAAAATCTTGCCCATTTTTCTGTACAGTTATCCTTTTCAGCAGAGAAAAGTAGCAACAGTTACTATTTCGCGTTGCAATCTTTGCATTACACTATTATCGACTTTGTTACGTTATTAAACATTTTGTCAATTTTAAGGGAATGAATGATATTCTTTTTAGTTCAAGGATTTGTTCGTATTTTCTTGAACTCTTTATAGCTTCCGAATGTGTATAATAATTATGTATCGAGAAACATTGATTTTCTAAATTTTTGTACTCTGGACTTAAAACCATCGATTCTAAGGGACTCTTAAAATTGATCTTGCAATTCTGTACACGTAAAAGAGCAATGAATTGTCTTGTTTAAGATACTTAACTTTTCCCACGCAAGATACAGAATATTGAGCGTCACAGGTACAGTCAGCGGCGCAAGTATTTCAGCAGTAGAGTCAGCAGTAAATTAACCTTGGAAAAATGCATTGCTATCGAAACAGATTGCATTAATAATACACGTGCAACAAAATTTGAATACTTTGTTGATACGTAAATCTAGTCGCTAGGCTGTGAAAATTACTACACAGATTTCACTAGAAAACTGGATTTTCAATATTAACTACACAGACTTCACTAGAAAACTAGATTTTCAATATTAACTACACAGACTTCGCTAGAAAACTAGATTTTCAATACTAGCTACACAGATTTCACTAGAAAACTAGATTTTCAATATTAACTACACAGACTTCACTAGAAAACTAGATTTTCAATATTAGCTACACAGACTTCACTAGAAAACTAGATTTTCAATACTAGCTACACAGACTTCACTAGAAAACTAGATTTTCAATATTAGAGGTTGAAAACCCCGAAGCCACCGTTGAAAGATCCCGAGGCGGACGAAAAATGGCACGAAAGTCGATCGTTTCGTCTGGTCCCGCTAGGAACGCGTGAAATCCGCAGTCTAGCAGCGGCATTGTTCCAAGGAAAAATGAAACGCTGGAAAAAAAAGGTGCGGGGACAGGGTTTGCCGGGAAAGAAGGCGCCTGAATGGCGGCGGAAGTCGGGAAATGGAAACGCGGGGATATATCCTTTCTGATTCCGCGCGCTGGGGACAGAATCATCCCCGCCATTGCTCCAGCCGAGCGAAATTGACGGAAAATCGAACGCGTCCGATGAACCGGCGGAAACCGATCCTCCACGCTGCTAACAGACTCTATTAATACAGCGGCGTCCCCTCAGAAAACGTATTCTTCGCTTCCAGATAATTGCTTCGCGAAAATTCGATGGAGAATCCTCTGCTCGGCGAACGCGTTTCGGTTCGCGAATTTAACGACTCTTCGGATCGCTAAATTTGGAATCGGAAGATTCAGTGATTACGATACTTTATCTTTAATTTGGTATCGAAACTGGTTTTCTTTCAGATCGGTTTCAACTCGACTCTGCTTTTACGGAATTGTAAGGGAACGATTGAGGCTTGTGGGTTATTAAAGATTCATTGAGTTATCGATGAGATTGCAGATCAGTGTACCGAAGAAATGAAAATGTAATGAAGAAAGTTTCTATTGCGATGATTTCAAGATTAGCTTTTCAATCGTAGCACTAATGGAACGTCGAGATTCTCCCGATGAAAACGAGTCCAAACACGACGTGGATCGGTCTAGTTTTATCATTCGATGGAAACGAGCCTTTAATTTCGTTGATTACGTACAATCGGTGAAACTTGTCTGATTCCTATCCTGTTTGGACTCGTTTTAATTCTCAGGAATTCACTGGTACTACGTTCGAGGTGAACTTATTATCATTACAATTGAAATCTTCTCCGTTGCGTGTTTATCTTTGACGTATCCGGCGTTGTTTCGAATGAATGATCGAGCAAAGATTCCTCCCGGTTTCTCTGATCGGTCAAATTCCACCGATGAGACCCGGAATCGTGCAATTTAACACGTTCAGTGGCAATTTCTGTAATACAATACTGTTAAGATATAAAAATATTTGTAGAACATAAAGGAACAATATCAAAATATTCAGAAATTCCATTGCTAGAAATTTGAATATAACCTAATATTCTATTAAAAAAATCAACACAATTCAGAAATTCCATTGCCAGAAATTTGAATATAACTTAATATTTTATTAAACAAATCAATACAGTTCACAAGCAAAATACATCCGGAATTTCCGTGGCATGTGTTAATTTCCGGAATGTGTTAAGCGAGCAGCACTGTACAGAGTAGTAACGAGTACAGGACTACGCGACACGAGTTCATCCTACCAACACAAGTCTATTTCTCCTATTCCGCGGACAATTGCTCCTAACTTTGCTCCGCTTCAGACCGCGGTCGAATTAACACTGATTTTCGCTCGTGAGAAGGCCCACCGAGCAACCCTGATGACTACCACCCTGTCCCCAAACATTGAAAAGGATAGGTCGAAGAGTGAGCGAGTGTTTCCCGGAAAAACCCAAGAAACCTCGTCAACGGTGAGGTGTCCCGCTACCTCTGACCCGAATGAAAATCTACCTGCTTTATGGCAGGGTCACTTTCAACACTAAAACTACCAAGCACCTCAACTGACCTTTCCGAATTTCTTCATAAAACTTCTGTGTATTTATTCAGATTTCAATTGGTTTATATTCCAGTGTAGATATTACTACATCAGCTCCTTAACTCGTTAAGCGCCATGTCAGTCACTGGTGACTGACGCTTCCGAATGACTAGAAAACAATCGTAACATACAAGACAGCCGATGTCGAATGAAGATGTTTAATAACCTAACAAAGTTGATAATAGTGCACTGCAAGGATTGTAACGTCAAATAATTAATAATTGTTCCTGCTTTTCTTTGCTACAACAGAAAAACTCTATGGGAAAACGCTTAAGATTTTCGTGGCGCTTAACGTGTTAAACGATTTCTCTGAGAAGCATCTGTACCTTCTGAATAATTGTATAGAAAGAAATTAGGAATGGTAGATCTAGTGTTAGTCCCTTGCCTTACGATCTATCTCGACCCAAATGCTTCTGCTCGCGTTACCTGGTTTTGTAGCAATGTTACAGCTATTGAAAAGGAAATTGTAGTATCACGAGTTCAGTGAAATTTACTTATGAAAATAAGAAGATTATATTACGATACGGCTGATTCGTAGAAATATACAAAGTCTCTAAAATTTCTATTCAAGGGACCAATGGGGATAGAATTAAAATGGTCGTTTTCTGGATAAAATTAACTTAACACGCTCGCTACCAGCGTCATGTTTTACATAATGAGAATGAAATGAATTCTATAGATATGCTTAACCCTTTGTCTGCCACATAAACACTCATCAAAACTACCATGTACTCGAAACAGTTTTTTTCACTAACCAGAAACTGAGAAATTAAAATTGTTCTTAATAATTGCTCCACTACCTTTCTTATATTTCATGTATCTAACAAAATTCGGTTTGTTCGGTACGTCATCAGAAGAATCAATGTCCAAGTTTCTGTAAAAAGAATGTCACCCGCATTCGAGTGACGTGGCAGTCAAGGTGTTAAAAGATTTTAACAAAAGACGATCTGGTAAATTGGGAAGGGAGAACAGTGGAAGCAATTGTTTCTCCAAAAATGTCATCGATATATATTCCTATACATCGGAATGATAATCATGCGTACGTGACAGCGGCCGGTAAAGTGTTAACCCTTAGCAGTCCATATGATTTTGTAATTTACCAACAACTCCAAGCCGTTCTTATAGTATCCCTGCACAAATGAAAAATGTTATGTAACATCTCTTAGATTTCTTTATTTTCATTCTTAATACAAAATTTGGATATATAGAAGATCCAGTAATCTTAGGGTAGTTCTAGATTTATTCATTAAAATATTTAACAGTATAAATGGTGTCACAGTGGCGCCTACAGAATGCAAAGGGTTAAAACTAGTAAAACCCTTAAGAAAAACCACCGTCGATCGTAAAGCGTGGAACTCCTTGACCATCGGCTGTTCGTCGATTGCAGGTGCGCCGTTCGGCCGCGAGACCGTGCCCGACAGAAGCTCGAACGCCCACGAAGACATCAAAGCGCCGCCGGCCGATCCCCTTCGTCGAACCGCGAGCGAGAGAGGCATGGCGAAAAAGTGAGTCGCCGCGCGCGCGAGAGGGGCGGCAGAGCGGCGAGAGCGCGGAAAATTCGTCACTCGAAACACGAGGGTAGGCAGCAGCCTTTGCTGCCGGCAAGGGGTAAATGAGAGATTAAAGCGGAACGGATCGGGAAAGGCACAAAGGCGGTCGGTCTGCTTTGCCGGACAAAGGTGGCCGCGGATTCACAGCGGCGCATGGATAACGGAAGACACAGGGAAACTGTTTCGAACGGGGGGATGGCGGCGATCGCTCTGAAGCTCGAGTGAAGACAAAGGGGTAGTACGCGCGGGCGCGCGCGCGCGCGCCTAGAGTACGGCGAACGGAGGAGAAAGAAAAGAGACAGACATGGAAATGAAAGAGACAATGGGGACGTAGGAGGATGATAAGCGGAAGAGGAAGACGCGCGACCGAGAAACAGGAAAAGAACGCTGTCCGATCGGACCAGGATGGACAGCCAATAAGCGGATAGTGGGACCGGTGTTCACAGCAGCTAAAGGGAAGGCGGATCGTCTGGGGGTCCGATGTTCAGAGCCGTACGATGGCTGGGGCCCTGTCCGAGAATGCCCCGAGACCCGTCAGTGTCGTCACGGTAGGCGGCGCGATAGCCGACAGCGCCAGGAACAATCATCTCGCCGGACCGCAGGTGGGTATCCTCTTTTTCTGACCGCGACTTTTTCCCATAATTCCTGGATACTCGCCCCGCGAACGAAGTGGAGACGTTTTTCCGCTCGAAACGAACCGTTCGGAGTCCCGCGCTGTCGATAGGTGTCCCGTGTTGGGATCCGGGTGAATGACGCGAAGTCCGATTCGTTAATAATAATTATATTCCGGCGTTTCAACGTATTCTCCAGATATAACACATCGAACGACGCGGAAACAGACAATTTCGGACAGACCGCTGACCAACAGAGTTGAAAGAATAACTATCTATTATCCTAGAGATTCCAATTCTTATATACTAAGCTTTTCGCTAAGAAGGGGATGTCGGTGACCCTTGGTACCTGATGATTCGTTATAGATGACTAGTCCTGGATGAGACATTTGTGTATTTTATCTAGGATTTTGGACTGGTGAAAAACATGCTGAGTAAGATATTTTGGACGCGGCGGGTCTAGGACGCTTATCTATGGTGCGTCATTAGGTTGGTCATCCAACACCCGTTTTCATTATCTCGAGCGACTTCTTTTCTATTTCGTGGATTTTTCTGATGAAACCTGGCTGGTGTTCGACGTTTGCGAGACGTTGGAGAGTATGGAGTTGGATTGTGGATCGGTGCTCGCGTTTGGGTTGGTTTCGGGAGGTTTTTATGGAAGTGAGATGGCTGTCTTGGATTCTGATGGACAACCCTTTGCGGAGATTCTTTGAAATGTACCAAACAGATGAAGCTAAATTATATATCAATCGTATAATTGATAGAATAGAAGGAGACTGCGCAATAAATCATTTTTTGACTTAGTCTTCGAAATATGAAAATTTCATGTCATTTCAGAGAGATCGAATTTTCGTAGTTGGAGCACTGAGTGACAAATGATTTAGTTACTGAAACAGCAAGAGATTACGTAGTTTCCCTTTTTCTCATTATTTGAGCAATCGGTATGTAATTTAGCTTCATCTGCTGGATGTTCTGTATATTTCAAAGAATCTTCGTTCGTTAAGGGTTAGCCCTTTGCATTCGAGAGTTTTTCGCTGGAAATATTCCACGTTTTCTAACAAGATAGGACCGATATTTTGGAAACTTACTTAAAGAGAAATTATATATAAATCAAAGAATAAAGCTGTTTCATTTCAATATTCCACGTGTTGATGCATTATAGAAAGATTAATATTAAAATATCAAGCTTTACAATTTTATAACGAATCAAGTGGTGACTGATAGTCACCAGCCGAGTGCAAAGGGTTGATCATTTCGACTTGGAGCTTGGTCTACTCGAGTTTTAGCTTAGCTACCCTACAGTCTTCTACGGACGCTAGCTATAAATAGGGGATCAAGCTTGTAGCTACCAGGAACATTGGACAAGCTGATCGTCAATGACTTCAAATTCTTTGAATTTCAATTCAAACAAATTGACTAACACTAGAACTACCAGTCAAAACGATTGGTTTCGATTGTTTTGTTTCGGAATGATTGATATCTTGAAAGCATTGAATACCTGAAATGATCTTGAAAATAAATAGCTTCACTCGAATAATATAATGAATCTCCGAAGAAACCGAAAATAATTTGTTACAATTTTCATAGGGATTACATATCAATCGTTTTAAATCTGTAGTCCTAGTGCTAATATTTCTTTTTCTTAAATTCCCTTTGAAATCTTCACGATTGACACGATATTGTAGGACAATCGGTTAATTCCTTTATACCTGTACAACATATAATCCTTAACCCTTTGCACTCTTCATTTGATTCGCAAAATTATAAAGTCTTATATATAATATAAAACTCTGCATGATGTATCGATACATAGAATATTGAAATAAAATAACTTTCCTTAATTTATACATGCCCCCTCGTTAATTACTTTCAAAGAACATCGTCCGTATCTCATCGAATATTGAATATTTCCATTAAAAAACTTTCGAGTGCAAAAGGTATCACTAGCCATCCCTTAGTTCATAAAAAACAAACATTTGAGAAGAAAGGCTATTTCCTAAAGCAGCATCCCCACTGACGAGCCAGGTAACAAAGGTACCAAATACAAACTGAGCTATCGATAGAAAATCTCCGCGAATCTCAGGGACACCTAACTTTGGATTAACCAAAGTGCACTGTTGCACCATTGTGCACTATCTCTTGTTAGCATCGACAGCTCCTTGCTCCAGAAACTGCAGCTTCTCGTCGATGCTCTCCAGCAAGATAAGATTCCACCTCATCGATCCTCTAAAACTCCCATTCGTCCTCCGATTCCTCAGCTCCTGGAGAGAGCCTCTCGCGGCCATCTTGGAAGACTCCAAACAGGAAACCGCGGGAACGGTCCCTCGCGACGGCCGACCTTCGCAAACCGGCAGCGAGCCACACACTGCGTTCTTCTCTGTCGGCTGCTCGCACCGTCCCGTACCGCTTCACCTATCCCCGCCCCTCTCCGCCGGGATTGATCGCGGTACTCCCGGTCTCGACCGGTCGAGACGCTCGTTTTGCTCGTGTGGGACCGGGGCACCGTCGTCCATGAGGATGCAGTGGAACGGAGGATCCGTTTATACGGACAAACTGCGCAACCTAACTGCTTAGACCGTTCCTGCGATGGAAGTCGGAGACCGAGTCTGGCTACTTTCGTCTAGGTTCCGTGAATTCGGGAATGATCGATCAAGATCGTCGCCTTCGTTTAACCCTTGAGGAATGTCGTCATTTTAGTGACTTCAAGCTTTCAGATTTCGAGTACGAAGTTAACAAACAATTGATTTCTTCAAATAACAAGAGATCAGTGTTTTCGAAGCTTCATCCTCGTCGACTTATTCGTTTAACCCTTTGAGGACGAATGTCGTCATTTTACTGACATCAAGCTTTCATATTTCGAGTACGAAGTTAACAGCAATTGATTTCTTCAAATAAGAGATCAGTGATTGGTTTTCTTCTCTGACATTTAAGACATTGATGTACAATTTAATTTCCCTGGCGAAATGATTTCAATACTTCAAGAAATCCTTGTCCCCAAAGGGTTAACCCCTTGCCCTACGATTTACTTTTCCGTTACGATCGATAGTACTTTGTCATTAATGATTTATTAGCCCTTTGCACTCCGAACGTTTTCAATACCTTAACAGTTCGTTTCTATGGAAAAACTTTCAACAACCTAAAATTTCGTTTGAAAAAGGAGAATTATAGGTATTCGTATACTCGCGTCTTTTAATTTCATTTGCCCATTCGCTCGAGTAGAAAGAAGAATTCTATAGTTTGAAATGAATATAACACATGATATCGGTGATGCAAATTATGTCTCCATAGCAGAGCCAACGGAGTGCAAAGGATTAACACATTGTTGACCGGTCAATTATAGATAATCAAAATTATAGACACATTCTACATCAATCTTTGTTCCAAAGTGCAATAATTGATAACAAAAGAATAATATTTCATTTGAATTCAAAAGGATCGATCAAACGTTCATACTAGTTCAATTCTGTTTGAAATCTGCACGCGTTTGACACGTTGTAAGGCAAGGGGTTAAAATCTGTGTGCCGTACTTTGAGTTTGACTCGCGATACAAATTTTGTACATAACCCCTTGCCCTGTCATTTTTTCTGAACACCGATCGATCTAACTACTTTGTTATTAATTTGTCGAAAATAAGAGAAGATTCCAGTCTTATTCTATCAACGCGTGCTCTAAGGTACGATCGCTGGTAACAGAGGAATAGGAATTTGCGTTCAAACAAATTGAATAATATTTATGCTTGTTCATTTTTGAATCTGACAGGATATCGTACGGCAAGGGGTTAAGGGTTAGCATTGTTCATCCACGGAATTGGGATTCGTAGATAGAATCGTGGGCGATCGGCGAGTGACTGGTTTTCGCGGATCGTTTCAGGAACCACGGGAGAATGGCCGATCCTACACGTCGACGGAGGCGCAGACGGAGCTGGCGCTGCCGAGTGGTCCAGAGGCGTTGGAGGATTTGGACGGTGTCCTAGGCGCGCGTAGGAGGGAGAGGCGGTTGCGCAGGTAGCGATGGCTCATCGGGACTTCGAATATGTATTCATCTACACTTCGCGAAGGATCTCAGTCGATTCGAACAGAGTTCGAACGAGGCCCTACAGCTTTTAAGTGTCTCGAAGCTCTAGAAGCCTGGAAGTCTTGAAGTTTTCAACCCTTTTTGCTGAAACATTTATATTCGAAAGACTAAGTCGCGAACAAACGATTCAGTTAGTCAAACAGCAAGAGATCACGCTCCTTTTTCTATTAATTTAGCAAGTGATAATTTTATATCAATATTAATATTAATATTAAGCAATTGATATTTCTACTAATTAAGCAATAGATAATATAATATTGATTTAGTTCGATCCACTCAAGGTCTTGTATATTTCAAAGAACCTCCGTTCGCAGAGAGTTAACTCTTTAAAGAGTTTCAAAGACTTCCAGTAGTTCTGAAGACTAACCCTACCAGACGGGTCAAACCGACTTCCTGACCTCATTTTGCAATGATTAACCGTTTGCACTCCAGAAGGTTCTCATTGGAAATACTCGAAAGCACCGAGTTGCTTCGAAACTGGAACTGAACCTGCAATCGCTATGCGCAGGCAGCACCGGCGCGCTTTGAGGTCTTGCTCCATGCCGCCGTCTTATCCAGGGACCTCGCCAGGATGCCAGGCCTCCACCGCGCCGGGTGTGCCTCTGGTGACGCCGCCGAGAGGATTCCTGCACCCGCCGCCGCCGCACTTGGGCCCCAGAGGCCTCAGTCCAGGCCTCCTTTTCCCGGTCTCCACCAGCGTCTCCGCTTTCGGCTGGTGAATATTTCAATGACAAAGAACACCCGGGAACCTGCGCAGATGGAAGCCAAATTGAAATATTGCTGGCGCAGTCGATGGCAACGTGTGACGCAAAGATTCTGTAGAAGTTGTAGTTCAACTTCTATGTTTAACACATTGAACGCCGGCTAAATTTCAGATACTAAAAACTAGAGCGTCGATGATTGTATTGATACATTTTTAAACATCGATTAAACCAAAACTTCTAACTTACGGAAGAGAATAAGGAATTCGATTTTGTACATTTTACTTTGGATTTGTGTTATACATATCTAAAATGTTACATGAACGTAGGATTAGCAATTAAACCATAGACTAAAAATCTTGCATTATCGCGGGGCCGGCGCTCAATGTGTTAACACTAGATTTATGGACATTTATTCTACTTTATTCTCTCACTCCTAGAACACTACATATTTGTTTATGTAGGTTGCGGAAATTAGAGTTTCAAGAACAGAGAATTATAATGTGCATTCGCATAATTGCACCGACCAAAGTCGACTTAATCATTTAGCGTACTATTTACTACCACTACTAAGCTCGTGTAATTTTGCTATCAACTATTTGGAAGAAATGCAGCAAAATTTTCCATTCTACTTGAAGTGGAAATTTCATTTGTAGATGATAAATTGGTAATAGCAAAATAGTTGTTTGTTTTAGTCCGTGGGTAATGAACAACATTGATTGTTGTTCAATTGGTTTAGAAATGTTCAAAGAATTCAATATCTGTCAAGTGGAAACAAACAATTAAAAAGAAACCTGCGTTTCTGGGCAGGACGTTAAAAATTATGCGGCAATGGGTTAACACTATTTCTACCAAGGTGTCGACAGACACCTGTCGAATTTTCGGATTAAAATTATTTTCCAACCTTAGTCGTATATTCTGAACTGACCTTCGACTTTACCAATAACGATTGTAACATTAACTACAGGAAATGTCCAAAATTCAATTGGAGAAAAATTGTTAAACCGAGAAGAGATTTGTAAGTTAAAATTTCAGTGTCTTTTGACAGCTTCGGTAATAGTGTTAATTAAATATGCTGTTCGTCGGCACGGTTGCACGTGACCAGTGAAAACCGTAGAACTGTGAACTAGAAAGACACCTCTGGCTGGTGCGCCGTTCCGCTAGACATCAGGTCATCTCCCAACTGTAGTTTCGTTCGCTTCAGGGACGCAGTGCCGAAGCAATGTTGCTGCCTCGGTTCGCCACCGGTTCGCTGGTCCATACTGGGCGTCGGCGTGGTGGGCCTCGTTTGCGCGGGCGCTGGCGCTCTGCTGGGGGCCCTGAGGGCCTCAGGCCGAGACCACATTGCAGTCGCACTCCTCATGATCGGTGAGTACCACTTTTTCTTCCCTCCATCGCTCGTGGACTCATTCGTCTAGTGTTAAGAACAGTTGAAGATCATTAGGCTCGACGCGGTAAAGTATTTAAGAAATATTCCGAACATCCCTCGAAGGCGATCGGAAACTTCGATTGGAAATTGGAAATTTCGAGAAGCTCAACTGAGATCATTTTAAGGTAACATTTTAAAAAGTCTTTTGACACCTTTGGTGGAAATGGTGTTGACACTGATTTATTCCTTTGCAATTACTGGAACTACTAATGAGTAATGAACAGTAGTTGAGATTAATAATATGAAGATGCCTAATTTTGTCTTCCTCATTTAATGTCTAGGTAACTGAGGGTTGAGGAAGCCCAGGTTTTACAATAATGAAGATTTATTCAGAGAAATGAAATGATTAAATTAGAATATCAGGATTTAATTACTACGTCTTATGAGAGTTAGTAACGATTCATTTCTCATTTGTAACGAGTGAGAAGAAGGTTCCTCGGTGAATAATTCTAGAAGTTCAATTTTCGAAGGGATAACGACCGCAGAGACGCAACTTCCGAGGAATGTCAGCTTTTTCGGAAGTTAGATAACTTTGAACCGGGAAATTACGAGATGGGGAGCAACGACGCGACGCGACGGTTGGTCAGACCCGCCGATCGCGGGCGCAACGACGACATAGAGGGGAATCGTGCTCGTAACGGTTACTTTCTAAACGTGGGCATGTAACCTGCGACCCGCATAGAATGGCTCTCACAATGGGAGAAAGCTTTAACCTACAGAGACTGACGTCTTACGCCTACACGCGGGGAACCGTGAGATTCGAGAAGCAGAAAATTCAGGATCAGCGAAAAAAGGAAGAGTCGGGGATAACCTGAACCCTCAGAACTTCAGAAACCACCCCATTCAATTTTTAAAGGAGAAATTTCTAGTTCAAGGACTTTAGTTCTTTTGAATTCTAAATTCTCTCTTTTATTTTCGAGGGGTAGAAAATTCGGGATTAGCGAAGAAAGGAAGACTCGAGGATAACTTGAACCCTTAAAACTTCAGAAACCACCCCATTCAATTTTTAAGGGAGGAATTTCTAGTTCAAGGACTTCAAGTCTTTTTAATCCTAAATTCTCCGCTTTTCAAGGCGTTGCGCGCATTTTCCGATGAAACTAAAGCGAATTTTTGTTCGATGAATAGGCGATTGGAGTATGAAACGTCTTTCTTTAAATTTATGCTCCCCTATCGATCCGTTCACGGTAGATTTTATTGCATTTTCCAGGATTATGATGCAATCCCCTCTCGTAAGACTCAGACGCCTCTCTCGGTCTCGTTCTCTCTTCGCCTGGCGTTTTATTATCCTTAGCGCGGCGTTCTCTTTTCTATTCGACTCGGTCCTTTCTATGTGCTCATTCCATTCTCTCTGCCTCCCCTGCAACGCTATATCGGCCACCTTGCGCTTACACTCTCTTCCATAGGTCAGGCGATAAGTTCCGAACGAAAACAACCACGAAATATTTTCGAAATTTAACCCTTTGCGCCCTCCAAGTATTAAACCTTTTGAATCTCCGACAATTCACCCTAATTAAGGGATAAGTGAAAAATATCGCAAGTAATCGTTAATCCTCTTAAATCTGTCTGAACTTCGAAATTAAACCAACGAAATTATTCTATAGTTGATTCTAAAGTTACACGAATTCCTAAGAAATCTCAACCCTTTACGTCCCTGACACAATCGTTCACCAAAAACACGTTTCACGGAAGAATAAAAGAATGAACCAAAATCATGACTGAATTCGAAATGAAACGAAGAATACAGTTCATTCTAAAATCCTGCAAATTTCAAGAGGAAATTTCAACCCTTTACGCCCCTAACAATCGTCCACAAAACCCTCACAGCTCACAGGAAAACCAAAGCGGAACTGAATTCAAAATGAAACCAACGAAGCGTTATTCCACAGTCCATTCGAAACCCCCGAAAATCTAAACTCTAGAATTCCAAAGGGGAAATTCCTGCGGCCAGCCCTTCTTTTCACGCTGCCGCGGCGAACGTCGCGTTTCACGGTGAAAAAAATGGGAAGGATTGCGGGTCACGTCGTTGACCAATATGGCAGGCCATGCGTTAACAAAGCCGCGGCGACTTAACGAGAGCGGCGGATCGGTCGTACCTCGGATAAGAAATTCCAGAGTCCGAGGCGGAAAAGTGGAAAGATCCGAGAGAGCGTGCGCGCGTAGCCGCGAAAACTCGGGACAATTATGCTACCCCGGAGGATGTTTTCTCGGCTCTCACTATTCTCGCGTGCCGACTTTCGTGAGAAAACGCGACAACGGCTAGCCGCCGGTTCGCATCGCGCGACGCGATCGCTGTGAACGCACCTTTACGCGTTCGCTTCCTGTAACTTTCGTTCGCGCGATAGAATATTCATGGAACAGCTCGAAAAATATTTAACCCCGTTGCCCTGTGATCTTTTTTTTCTCAGCTGCGATCGATACAACCGTGTCGTTAATAATTTATCCTGAGAAGAGAGAAATTCTGTGCATGTTGTATTTGATTGTTTTATAGTAATGCAGTTTTCTTTGATATTTCTTCTGCCTCGAGTGATTAAGACGAACAAAACTTGTTTAAAACATGACAAGACGTGTTTCTGTTGCAGGTATAGGAGTGGTCCTGGTAACCGTGAGCGCTGTAGCGTGGCGAGTAAATTGCGGCAGTTTCTTTGGTTTCACGGGGATCTCGGGGATCTCGGGGATCCCGCCGGCGAGGCCGATCCATCCGTACGCCCCGGAGTTTCAGTTCAGAACGCCACCTCCGAGTTATCAGGTGACATTTTTTCGATTCCTCCCGTTGCCTTCGTTTCACGCTGTTTCACGCTCGTTTCCGTGATAGGTTTTGCACTCGAAATTCACCTTGTCGCGCATTAAGTGCTTCTACAAACACATTCTTCTTCGAAACATTCTTTTGACCCTTCGCACTCGAAAGTTTATCACTTGAAATATTCAACCCTTTCTAGTTAGATGCACACAAAATTCTTTAAGATAAATTTATCAAGAAATCACCAATTAGGGAACAAGCTATTTTCTTTCAATATTTCACGTGTTGATGCAGTGTACAAAGGTTAATAGTAAATACCAATATTTATAATTTCCACCACTTGATTTGATTCGCAAAATATAATATTAAACTTTGCACGATGCGTCAATATATGGGATATTGAAATAAAATAATTCTCCTTCTTAATTGATGTATGTTTTCGCATTAATTCGTTTCAAAGAACATCGTCTGTGTCTCATCGGAGAATGTTGAATATTTTTAGTGAAAAACTTTCGAATGCAAAGGGTTAACCCTTTCTAGTTCAAGGACTTCGGGTCTTTTAAATTCTAAATTCTCCCTCTTATTTTCGAGGGGTAGAAAATTCGGAATTAGCGAAAAAAGGAAGAAACGTCCGAAGAAACTGAAAATAATCTATTGTTACAATTTTTATAATTGCATATTAATCGTATTAAATGCTCGGTAGTTCTAGTGTTAAGATTCATTAAAATATTTAATATTATAACTGGTGCAATATCGGAGCCTACAGAGTTCAAAGGGTCAACGCTACATTTACGGAACCCATCGATTTGACGGATACTGAATTTTTCAAAGATTATTTAGTAACAGCTTTCATCGATGTTGCTTCATGCAATTATGCGAATGCGTATTGCTGAAAATAACCTATTGTTACAATTTTTATAATTGCATATTAATCGTATTAACCCCTTGCCCCACAACGAGTGAGACTCGTGGTGAAGATTTTCAACATGATTGAACAAATATCTATATTACTCAGTTCATTCGAATTCAAAGTAAATATTATCCCTCTGTAATCCACTATTATACTTAAAAGGAAATATAGGCATAACATTTGCATAGAATTTTTCTCTTTTTCCAATAAATTATTAACGAGAAAGTAGCCGTTTCGATCAGAGTTCAGAAAGAAATCATAGGCCAAGGGGTTAAATGCTCGGTGGTTCTAGTGTTAAATTTATCCTCCCCAACACGAAAAAACGCTTCATTCGCGCGGAGATCAATCTTCGAATTTTGCGTTTCAGGCGAGTATGCAAGACTACAGGCTGCGACTGCTGCTGCTGGACCGTTTGCAGCCGACGTCCTCGCCCCCGCCGACCTACAGGTCGAACGCGGGCAGCATCGTGGCGCCCGGCACCGCCAGAGAGAGCAGGCCGCCCAGCTACTGCTCCAGATCGAACGTCCCGTCTGCGACGAGTATCGCGCCCTCGAAGAAAGACGCGAACCTGGTCAGGATCGTTCAGACCGAGTCCGAGCCGGTGATCCTCAGCGGCGATCAGACTCCCCCCGTCGCCGCTGTCGAGGTGCTCGCGCACCTCTGATCATTCTTCCGTTCTTCTGATCACTGTATCTTCCCTCGCTGCTAGAGGAACGGCTGACCCATGGGTAAAGCTCGTTGGCTTGCGTCTCGAGTCCCTGGCGTCTTCTCGAGGCGATCTGTTCACGGTGCCATTTTGTCCATTGCGCAAACTATGTAAGAAGCTACACTGGAAAGTGTCTCTTTCAGAGTTGAAGCCTCAGTTTCCTTTGGAAGATACTCGGTGTTGTAGAAGTGAGCCCTAAGCTTAAGGGACTTGTACAGTAGTAAAGTGTTTTCGATTGATTGGCTTTTGCAAATGGAATCGCTTGTGTTGTGAACACGAGTCCTTGGCCTAAGCTTAGGACTGTAGCTGTTAACAGTATCGTAGTAAAGTGTTTTCGATTGATTGGCTTTTGGAAATGGAGTCGCTAGTGTTGTGAACGTGAGCCTCAGCCTATAAGCTTAGGGGACTCTTTATAGTGCTGAAAAAAGACTGTGTTTCCTAGTTGTCTTCTGAAAATCGGACAACTGGTGTTGTTAATGGGAGTCCTTAGTGTACAGGCTTAGGGGACTCGAGCTTTTTATAGCGCTGTAGACGTTGAACTTTGTGTTCCGATGAACAGAATCGCATCGCGAAGGGGTTCCACGATGAGAGAAAGGACGCCACGGACTTCGCGATAGAAACCAATTGCTGTAAAGGAATTACCCGCAGTGCAATACAGCCCTTAGGGTTCCTCTGTCTCCGTTCCGGCACGCCGTTACTGAAATCGTAGCTTCCACTGGCCCCGACTCGACAGTCGGGCTGCGTCCAGACTGGATCGCCGATGTTGCGGCCAACTTCTCAACGAGCGAGCTTTCTCGTGGAACGGATTTACCAGCGCTTTGACGGCCGCGCTCGCTTATACGTTCGCGTGATTGGACCAAATGTCTTCCTTCTCTATCACTGAATTGTCTAGCTTCTAATTAACGAGAAATACACTGTGATTTGAAAAGTGACAATAAGTCTCATGGGTTTAAGTGTACCTTAATTTCGTAGCTTATCGGACTGCCATTGCTATACTTCAAGGCCTAACGTTGCCGCGTCGTTAACGCACACCTGTTAACCGCGTACATTGCTTTTGTAATAATTCCTGTAACGAACGTTGCAGCTTCGAACGATTCTCTCGAAGGACATATCTCGATTCTCAAGGAAATCATTTATTTAACTAACGATCTTGAATCGGCATTCTGTACTCGAAGTAACGGTCCGATCAACTTCCGGAAAGAGCCAGTATAAACACTCCACACGGCCGTCAAAGCGGCGACCATTTCAGCGCGACGACCGCTCTCGAGCAAAATGGCGCCGGCGAGAATCTCCAACGAGCACGCGCCATTCGCGGCCGAGTCGGCGCCATTTCGACGAGTAGAACCGACAGAGCACGCGTTTTAACGCTAGAACTGTCGGTTGCACTAATTTATTCCCGATTTCTCGGAGGCGGATGCATTCCTCGAGACTCGAGGCGACCGTTCGCCGAATTTGCCAAGCAATTTCTCGCGAAACCGTCCCCGCGGTCTCGACAACTGTAAGATAAAGATTCCGACGCGGATTCCACGGTTCTAGCGTTAATCTTCCGGCGTTTCGACCAATTTTTCCGTTGTGATATAGAGAAAGGGAGCAAGGAGCAGCGGCTGGCGTGCACGCGAGAACGGTTCGAGGATATTTTCGCGGCCGGCGACGATGGAGACGAATTTGACGGGGGAACGTCGGCGTGTGAGAGTAGTTTGAAAGATGAAACTTCAGTTTTCATTCTCTAACGATGTAATATTTTGTGCGGAGAGCGGGCGATTCACTGTTGTATCGTTCGTGTCGTAGAACGGGGAGACCGACGCTTCGGCAGCCATTTTCAATGAGCGCGACGCGCTCGTACAGTAAACCGTATCGATACTTTGCTGTTGGAATGTTTTGTCAGCTACCTTTCCGGCGTTTCCACTCGGAGTTCCCCTGTATGGATAGGAAAGTCTCGGCGAGCAAAGAGGCACTGTTATTTTTCGAATATTTCGAAGACCTCTATCTCCTCTTCGTTAAAATGGCGGACAGCGTTGCGTGGCGTGAAGCGTGCGATATTTTTCATTGACACTGGAGTGCGTTTACTACGTTCCCCCGTTGAACCGAACGATTTTTAAGTAGTACATTCCATGACATTGATACTTTAGCAATCGAACGGTCGTTCGGGCGTATTCAGATTTTAGGAACTTCGTATCGAGTCGTGTTGGTACGATGTATACTCATCGATAGGCCGCGGGCGTCGCGCGTGTTCGAGGTCCGCGAAACTTGGGAGCAAGCTGGATATTCCAATGGAATTTTGCACGCGTTATTTGCTAGTGGTTGTTTAATGGTAACCTCTTCTCCTTTAAGATCGAGTTAGATTCAAGCTTTCAATTGGATTCGATAGATTAACTGTTTAGTTTTCATACGAATGGAGTATCAGTTGTAGATATAGAATGAGCAACGAGTTCTCTTCCTTTTCTACCGGATTGTTAACGATTAAGTAGTCCCACTGAGCACTGTTGTGGAAGGAATCGAATAAGCGGTTAATGATCAGCATTTAACATTTAGACAACCTGAGAGGAAGCTATAGTCTCCTTTATTAATTTCCATCGAAATTATCAAAGTAAGAAAAATGCGAATGTCTCCAGTCGAACGTCTACTAATGACAATAAATAAACAGAATGGCAATCTAAGGCGAAAATGGGTTGGCTAAGTGTTAACCTTTTCGATTCGAATTCCAATGAATCTTCGCGGATAATTAATCAATTTTTAACAACTACATTCATTCGAGATTTCTTTTTACGATTATTAGAAAGGCATGCTTTTCTAATTGATTTATCGATATGCAAACTGAATTGAAAATCTCATTAGAATTTCAATAGAACATCTTTAGAGTTTCTATACAGAAATTTCGAGAACTCAATTTAACTGCTCGGTATTCTAGTGTTAATTACCATTTAAACCCGATAACCATATATTACTAAATTCTTTCGAGCGAAACATTATTCAATTGTTATAATGCAGAGCAAACAGCCACAGAGTATACCTAGAGTTTCTCTTGTTTTAATCAACGATTAACAACCAAGTGCTCGATCATAGTTGAGATAGAAATCGTAGACCAAAGGGTTGAAAGAAAATTGCAAGCTTGTTTCGAAGATAGTAGAGACTTCTAGCAGATAAAGCGTGAATTATCGAGTGAAATTCTCTGAAATTCGTCGATTCTGACGCGTGAACGTCCGCGGTCCGCTCGTTGCCAGCGTTCTTCGCGTTTATTTATTGCGTGTAAAGAGGACACTTACTTCGATGTGTCGGCGCGTTACCTGTAAATACCGATTATATCGAAGTTCGTCGCAGTATTGTACTACTTCCGGTCTGTAACATGTAAAATACTCGCGAGACGGAAGTCGGGTGTATGTTCGTTCGCGCGTGGAACGGTCTGTGGAAATTTGTAAGGTCTTCCTCTATATGTAGCTGCGATTCGCGATGCGTTTGTCGCGTTAGGTTGGCCTGAAAGTATTCTCGCTTCGTGTTTCATTCAATTTTCATCATTCTAATGAATCGACATAACGAGCCTTTCAATGTCACCGAACAAATGCAATGGAACTTCTCAATTTTACCGAATAAATGCAATGGAACGTTTCAATTGTAATGAATGAACACAACGAAACTTTAGTAACCATTCAACGAGAATTTTCCGAAGCACTATAAAACGTTTGCATAGAACATTCAATTAAATACTAAAGAATATGAGACATACTTTACGATTAAACATTTTTAACTGCTCACTTGTCCATTGCAACTTTCGATTCTAGACATTCCAGGCTTCGAATGGTTAATGAATCGTAACACTACGCAGAGTAATTAACGCTAAACCTACCAAACAGTTAGAGCGACTCATTTCCAATTTTGTATCAAAATTAAAATACGTTTCTCGAGATTCGAGGAGTCTCCGTCACGTATCTCTATAAACTCACTGTTAGTTAACAATCTTATAATCACTTAACAATCTTATAATCACAATTTTTCGTATAATTACACTTGTCCATTGCAACTTTCGATTCTAGACATTCCAGGCTTCGAATGGTTAATGAATCGTAACACTACGCAGAGTAATTAACGCTAAACCTACCAAACAGCTAGAGCGACTCATTTCCAATTTTGTATCAAAATTAGAATACGTTTCTCGAGATTCGATGAGTCTGCTAGTCACGTATCTCTATAAACACGGTTAGTTAACAATCCGTCGCAAAAACGCCTTCACACTTCATAGTTCGCAAAATAAAAATTCTGAAATGAGTCAATTTAACTCGTTCAGTAGTTCTACTGTTAATTATGGAGATGTCTGCAATACTTTTAGGTCAACTGGGTAGTCGAAGGAAGACGGAAACCCGTAGTTCGAATGAATTGAAGGCAGTTCTCATAGTTTTAGAGAAATCGTGTCACTTTTTCATGTATATCACATTGAACATTGAAATTTTATCGTCGCACATTGTCGTCCGTGAAACACGGGACACGTATGAACCAGAGGTCCAGAAAAACTGCGCGGCGAAAGACTTTTAGGCTTCTAGATCGGTATTCCCTTGTAACGGACGAGTTTAGCGAATAGATCTCGGCGGCGGTTTATAGTTTCGGGTACGATACGGTGTTGTGATACGCGGAAAACATGGAGTTTTAACTAGAGATATATTAGGAGATACTCATCGGAGAAGTAGACGAGGGAACGGTGTCGATTTACTCGATAGGAAATCATTTATCGCGGTAACTTGTAACTGTAGATACTCAATCGGAACTATCGAACGATCGAGTCGAACGATGGCTTTTCGGGCGGTTAACACATTGCGCACTGGCAACGATAAATCTTTTTTTTTTATATAAGATAGCTTATGCAACTTCGTTAATTGCCACAGTAAAAAAATATTAAATTTGATTCGAACTTATCTATTTAAAATATATTACACAATATATCTGTGTTTTTATATATATATAATGATTCATTGTTTCTGGAAATTGCTGGTACGCGATGTGTTAACATAAATATTTTAAACAAGAGCTCCCAACGATTCTCGAATAAAAAGCTACCACTCGAAATCGCAATTCGAACGAATATCTTCAATGAATCTGTAAGTAAGCGTATAGATTGTTCAGACACTAAGTAAACTAGATCTAAACGAGGAACAAACGCATATTCTAAATTCGTAAAGAACAACACGCCAAAAGCCAAGGAACACGTACAACTAATATAACTGTAGCGATACCTGTTATTAACCCTTTGCACTCGAGAGACGACTCTCGGTCACTTGACTCGAATCAGTAGAATTCCAAAGTCTTCGTTATGATATCAAGCTTTAATATATATTTTGAACTCGAATTAACTAATATATATATATATATATATTAGTTAATTCGAGTTCAAAGTAAAAATTATTCCTCTGGAATCAATTATTATACTTGGAAAGAAATATAGGCGTAACGTATGCTTAGAATTTTTCTCTTTTTCTAAGAAATTATTAATGACAAAGTAGCCGTGTCGATCAGAGTTGAGAAAGAAATCATAGGTCAAGGGGTTAACACGTGAAATATTCGAAGTATCTATGTTCCTTGATTTATGTTTTCCCATTAGTCTCAGAGGATGTCTCGTGAGATGTTGGACATCTCTAGTAGAAAACTGTCGAGTACAGAGGGTCAATGGTTCGCGAGTGTCGTTACTGAATAATTAATTATAAAAGGAAACGAGAGCGTGCTCGGTTTCACGGTCGACAACGTGCTCCTTCGAGTCGGAGGGAAAGCGAGGGGAGAGGGGCGAACTCGAAGCTGCACAAGCTAATTGAAAATTGCATCGGACGATGCAGCTTTAGGGTTAAGGACGCTACCGAAAGCTTTAACGCCATACAATAACGTTTACTACTCGCTTCGATGTAACACGACTACGAAAAGAAAGAAAAAAGGGGACAGAGACAGACTCTCTCTGTTAGTGTCGCGCGAGGAACGAGAATCTCGTGAGCTGCGTATTATACATATATACATATTTTTGTAATTATTAGTGGTTAAAAGTTACGGAATATCGTCGTCGAACGTAGCGAAAAGAAGGGGACGTTCTGATCCGACAGCGGCCAACATTGGACGATTGCAACCCTCGAGACGCGAATGTCGAGCGATCGGTTCGAAACGAAGCAACTTAACTCTCTGTAGGCCCATGTGACTTTCAAGTCACATATCAGTATATTGGCGTCTTTTTGATTTATTTCACTTTGCACTCGAAGTGGTGAATAAAATTAAGTAACCAGTTAAACTTCCACTTTTATATGCTCAGGCGTGAAAGTTTAACGGCATTGTAACTTGAAAGTTACAAAATATATTTGTTCGATGAAATTTTTGAAACTATTGAATACATTGTTAATTCGTATTCGTATGTGGATATTTATTAATTTTGTACTGCATAGATTTTGTTATAATCATGAACAAAAATTCGGCCCATAGAGGGTTAAGAAACGGAGGTTTCAGTATGATGATCGTAGAAAACGCGAGTGAAGGCGAAAGACTGGCAGTCGAAGCGTCAGCAACGTTAGCACTAGAACTACCGGATGACTCAACGCGACCTGTTCATGATTTCTAGTTACTAAAGCACATACTTCTTTGAGAAACTAACCCTTTACGGACGAATGTTGAAATTTCAGCGACAGGAAATTTTCATGATTCTAGCACTGAGTCGCAAATGATTGGATTACTAAAACAGTAAGAGATCAGCACCTAGTTTTTCCTGTTATTTAAGCAATTGATGTATCATTTAGCTTTATCTGCTGGTTTTATATGTTTCTAAGAATCCTCGTCCGCAAAGGGTTAAAGAAGCTGATTGATGCCTGAACTGAAGCATAGCTTAATTGAAATGTTAATGAACGCACGCTTATAGCTCCTACGAAGAAACTTGGGAAGCTCGGTTGAAGTGCAGTAGCTTTAGCGTTGGCTGGCGACGAGCTAGAGATTCCGATGGATGAAACCTTCATCGTGTTTGCCACGTGTCTCTGATTAACACGTTCGCTACCAGCGTTTATTTACGGTCTTAATTACATTTTTTTCGATCCAGTCTAAACGAAATATTAGAAAAATGAAACGAGTTCAGTTGCTAAATATAATGCAGTTCTTTTAACGAACGCCTGATAATTTGTGAATAAATTGTGTAACACAGGATTACGGTCGTCAAATAGGTGATACTGATAGCCAACGTGTTAAAATCACAGCAAACATGGAATTACGATCGTGGTTACTCGTATAATGAGCGACTGAAGTGTCGGATATGGAAAAGAGACAGTGAAATCATCGAATCGCGTTACTCTGCTCGGCCCGAGTCAATCCAGCAAGCTAAAAGGTCACAGGGGCAAGGGGACTGTTCCACTCAGAATGCTCGGTAGCTATAGAACAACAGCGACGTCACCGGCCGAGCCTCGTGACGAAGGAAGCAGACGTAACGGAACGCGACGGAGTGAGACGTAACGATCATTGACCTCGACTATGTTCCCCGTGTCGTCGAGGTGACTCTGGGAGGCTCCGAGCGGCTCGAAGTTCAAGTATCGATTTTACTTAACGTTGCTTAACAAAACTTACCTCAAAATTCTACGGGAGTCGTGAACGCGTCGCTTGTTTCCGAAAGACTGACTGTCCTTACAGTTTCTCGAGTTTTCGAAAGCAGGAATCATTATGGGATACATAATTAGGTATCGGTCAACCCAAAAGGGGATTAGCGTAACGATAGAGGAAGAGGGGAAGGTTTATATTGCGATTTCGAAGGGATTAACTCCGGGATTAAGTTTCCAAGAATTGGAAAAGGGGCGTATACCTGCTACAATACCCAGAATGACCGAGGTGAAGCGTACGGCGGGTCACCCTTGCCCTTGTGTACGTTCAACTTTTAGGTTTGACTCACAACGTGAGAGATACACAGTAAATACTGTCCGTTGCAGCGAACTTGGCACTTGTGACGTCAGGGGCGGAGCCAGTCGCAGTAGGTCCGCCCATCCGAGTCCGGGAAACGCTCTCCACGCCCTCTGACGCGCGACTTTAGCGAAGGGGCGTGTCCCTTGAAACTGACCACTTAGATAAACGTGCCAAGTTAGCTGCAACGGATGGTAGAGACGGTGTCGAGGGTAGTGTGATTAGAATGGGGAAATTGTGGGACAGTTTACTCTTTCTTCGGCGTTATCGTTGGATTCTGCAGTGGTTGTGGAGATTGTTGAATGATGACTGGAGAAAACTCAACCGTTAGGTTGCTTGCTGGTTTCACTGATTGAGTGCTATGGTGTGTTGAAGGGAACTTGGGGATACATCAGGGATGATGTTGCATTTGCGAAGAGGTCTCGGGTGGCGCAATTGTCCAATGTTCGCTGTGTGTACCTAACGTGTCAGTAGCTTCTCAAGTGATTTCACTCTTTTTCTTTCTCCTCGCCGCGGTTTCATCGTTTTAGAACTTTATCCGTAGAGAATAAAGAGGACGCTCGACGGGGAGGAGCGTGGAAACGGGGAAGCCTGTTATCGATCGTTACGAATGTAAATGATAACGTGGATATATCTATTTTTCTCGTGTTCGTTTGTTGGATCGCGGACGCCGATCGCGCGTCGATGTTCATAGATTATCCTGCAAAATTTCTTTCACCTGTACCGGCGGTCTGTTCATTGAACGGGGAACGATGCGGTCGGAGGGTCGGTTAACGCTGGATTTATGGGACAAGTGAATTTCACTGGTATTAGATTTTTATGGACATTCCGTAGACAGAATTCGATCGAGTCGCACGAATACGTGCCCTGATTCTACTATTGAAACCAGAATTTTCGAAATCGAAATGAACATCGATTTTTCTGAGAATAGAACAAACTGTAATTGTCTGTAAATCTAGTGTTGACAGTTGTGTTGGCAACCGAACTGTTAGTTCACTGGAACTCTGAATAATAGAAGCTTTGATTGCAAAGATCGTTGGTTTTGTTAAATTTTCTCGATATTCGCGAATTGCGCGGAGGAAAATGGACGAATCGGTTGTCGACACAACGATATACGAATCTTGCGAATGAAAATTCACGAGGGATTTCGCGGACCTGTCGAAGAATGGAATGCCACCTGCGGATCGTTTTGGTGGAATGATCGAAGCGCTGGGAATATTGTTTGCCGTTCTGCGTACGACATTTAGGTTGTTCTTGTACGATTCCGACAGACTTGACAGTAAGTAGGATTGTAAGAAGTGAGAGGATGTGGGAGCGAGAGTTTCGAAAGGCGGCCTTAACTAGTGCTGGGATCAAGTACGCGTTTTTCAGCGAGCACCGGCGAAAGACAAGAGAACTTCGTACGGTTTGTTCGATTCTACTCAAATAATCATTCGAACATCGAAAATGTCTGATTTTGGAAGTTGGATGCATTCGTCGCAATTAGACTGCGGACTTTTACGCGACTATATAAGAATATTATTCGAAAAAATGGAATACTCTATAAAAGAAATAATTGAAAATTATTTTTCCTGTGCACTCGAGAAATATTCATTTTCCGATGAAATATCGAAGATACTTTTTGCAACTATGTTTCATGTCGATATATTATACGAAACATATTGAATGTTCGATTTTATAATTTTCACGAGTGAAATTAACCCTTTGCGGACGAGTGTCAACATTTCGACGAGATGAAGTTTTCATGTTTCGAAGATTAAGTTATAAACAAATAATTTAATTACTCGAACATCGAGAGATCAGCACGTAGTTTCCCTTTTTTCTATTAATTAAGCAATTGATATATAATTGATCTCTATCTCTTCAAGGTTTCGAACATTTCAAAGAATCTTCGTCCGAAAAGGGTTAATGGAGCTGTTAGAGAAATGGGAATTGAAATTTCGAAGGGTGTTACCGGCGAAATATCGGGAAAACGTTAGTTTCGATAAATTTGTGCAACGTTGCACTGTGAAACGCATAAAAATCTGCAGTTTAGTGGCGACGCTTCCGGAATAATCGATTTCGAGGGACGAAACGTTTCAATTTGGTTGATAGGCTGCGAATCTGACGTGTTCAAGCGTACTGAATATATAATTTCAGCGTTCCACTGCCATTCGGTTAGGTTCCGATTATAATTACACGCACTGCCATATATTCACGGATGTTTCTTGTCGGATACGACGCTTGATCCCGCCACTAGCCTTAACCAAACTCGCACTGATTCGTGATATGAGAACAGATCAACTAAGAGTCATCGATCGAATGAACATATTGTTCCTTGATATTATTGTAGGACAATTTGTATATTTACGAGAACAAATATATTTATCTGACTTACTTGGCTTCGTGATCCTGTGGAATCGTCAGTGGACGAGGAATTTCATTCGTCGCCTCCACCGTTTTGCACTCGAGAACCGACCGGTTCGGCAAAGTTTGATACGGCGGAATTATGAAACTCGATATTCGATATCGCGTCAATGTGATTGATTAGTGACGATATTGGAATATTATTGAAATATCATGTTATCGAGGATAACGTAGAATATTAGAATAAAACAGCTCCATCTATCGATTGCTGAATTACTTTTATTCTATTTATTATTTCTATTCCAATTATTTCAATTACTTCCATTATTTCTATTATTCCGATTATTTCAATTACTTCTATTCTATTTATTATTCCAATTATTTCAATTACTTCCATTTATTATTTCAATCATTCCGACTATTTCAATCACTTCTATTCTATATATTATTCCAATTATTTCAGTTACTTCTATTCCATTCATTATTTCCATTAATCCGATTAGTTCGATTAATTACATTCGAAAACACTGAGTACACGCAGCGAAACAACGTTCTGAGTGCAAAGGGTTAACTAATTAATTCATATCCTGCGAATGACGAAAGACCAACGCGGTTTCTTCAGAAAAATGTTTATTTCTTCGCACATTTCTCGCGTTCCTTACAACTTCCTTTC